GAGTTGGCCGGTGCATGCTGCGTGTTGATCTCGACGGGAGCTTGTCCGCCACTCCTGTTTGTTCCGCAGCGACCCGAAGAAGAACTGAAATCCCATGTGGAGCAAGGTGTCGGTTCTCCCAAGGCTACGTGTCGTTTTGTCTTGTCCCGCTAACTAGGCTCCCATGCAACTACGCAGAGTGCACTCCGCCAACACACAGCATAGAAGCTGCCGCTTACCGCTGGTGGGCAGTGTGCTGTTCCAACAATGAAGCGTGCGTAGGAGGCGAATGCCGCAGCTGAGGAAGGTACTCCATATTACCTCCAGACTCGTTATACCACCTCGAGAAACGGTAGACTTCATAAATAATTCTTTTTATTGTAGATGCAAAGTATACTATTTGTCCAAGGGGCCAAACTAGTGTGCCAGCATGCAACGCCTCATCATCACGTTTCCCTTTCTCTATCACCAAATCAGCGAATGATTGACAGGCGCTACAGTGGAAGCACAGTTTGTCATTGAAAAGAGCTGAAGCTGCAAACATAGGTTGTCATTGAAAAGAGCTGAAGCTGCAAACATATGTAACTCAGAACCCTAGAAAATGCAGTATGCATGTAGTGCTTCACGGAGTTGCGATTAACCTGTTGGGCACAAGTGGAAGAAGCCTGAGGAGCGATGGTTTGAAAAAGCACGGAAAAGTTTCCAGGTCGAAATATGTGCTATGCCCCAACAATGCACAAAAAATCAAACAGAGTACGGCGCAGGTTGCACTTTCCAGCTGGTAGGACGAGCATCAGAATAAAGTCGCGATGCCGAATGTCACACTGGCAAGAGCAACGAAACTTGGAGCTGCTATCAATGCGGAGCCTGTGAGGGAAGATATGATCCTGTCCCATTGCTCCTGCCTGCAAATCACCCGCAATGCCGTACACAAGATTCATTCCAACTCACAGCAATGCAGGTCTTGTGGGTAGCACAGCGATGCATGAAGTATGTTGTTACTTACGTGAATGGAGCAGAATTGCCATCTCCAAAAGCAGCAGGCATCGTTTTGCAAATCAACGCGTAACCGTTTTTTGTAGTTTCAGGTGTAGTTTCAGGTGACCGCATATCAGTACCTGCAGTGGAGGTAGTCGTTTGAGTGCAAGTGACGACTCGGCAGTCTGCAGTGGCATTGGATAAAGGGTTGTAGAGGGCTACAAAAGAAACGTTGTCTTGATTTTTGTAGAGTGTTTCGTTGCCAGTCTTTGATGGCGGCAGTCCAGGGAAGTTTTTGTAGGCTGCCTTCCAGTAATCAACTGTTTCCTTGCAATTCGGTTCCGTGTCATCTAAGGCCTTGAAAGCATACGTTCCGTCTTCAAACGGTTTCGTTGCGATTGCTTCAGTCACTGGTGTTGTTTCTTGAGTCTGAGCAAAGCAAGAAGGTAACTTCGTAGGGCGGACAATGCTCTTGGTCATGGTTTGGGTAGTATTTGGTGTCGCTTACTGGAATCAAGTATTCGCAGACTTTTTTCCAGTCGTTGTCATCCTGTAGCTCTGCTCCTTGTGGGTCGTTCAATTTTGCATCATTTGTAGCCTCTGCGAAGTTGGGCAGCCCAACTGCCTGACGTGCAGTGTTAACCTCGCTGAGGCACACGGGGCTTTGCCCTGCAGCAGTGGGAGTCAGATGCATTTGCACTTTGTGACGTTTCAGCGGAAGCTAGTCCTTGCAATTGGACTGGACAGTGCACAGCGTAGTAGGGCTCACTTGGAGGAATAGCGCAGCAGAGCTCACCGTCAGGAGTTGTCTGGGATCCTGTCGCTATGCTACTGAACGGAAGCTGGCCTGAGCTTCACTACGGAGTGAACAGCGGCCTGAATGTTTACTACTTACCGATAGATGCTTTGTACTTGATTGTTTGTCCATTTCCTTCCGAGCGACCTAGGGTGGAGGCGCTCAGCACCAAGAACAGAGTGCTGAGAAGTGATGCTGGGTAGCAATGAAACATCTTTGACGAGTGACCCTTAAAAGTCACGGCTGCGAAAAAGCTAAAAAAAGAATTTGAAAATGCAAAGATTTCAGCAAAGGCGGTGCACAAGGAAGTTACACTGGGAGCCAACGTTTCGTTTCGTGTTGCCATCCATTCCTCTGGAGATCCGTTGGTGAGCGGTGGCCATGGCCGTGTAGTGGAGAAGGCGCAGCATTGAGCTCTAGATCTGTGCCTGTAAATCTGCACCACCTGAAATTCAATCAAATTAACTGTGGAAGGACAGAACGTTTTGGAAATGTCGGCTGGAATGAGTGTGAATGAGGGATTTAAAAAAAGTCGCCCCACTAAATTTTTGCAGTCCCCTGAGTAGTAGAGCACTAGATTCTCTTGTGAGGGCCAGTCGCACGCACCTCTGTGCATGTTGTATTCCACAGGCGAAATATAATCTATATACATCTTTTTATACGATGTGCAGAATTTTTGAACACGAAATGGCAAATGAATTACAGGCTTCAAGGTGCTTCTTCACCTCGACTAGAGCTGGATCGAAACTTGTGTCTGATACTGCGAGGCAGGCCGGAAACGCCAGATTCTTATATGCCTGGTGTAAGTGGTCTAACTAACAGAAATTTCTAATATGAAAGAGAACTCAAACACTTGAATCAGCAAGGTGTCGTTTTCCGTGTTTTTTCAGTCTGTTGTGGCCTTTCCTGGTAGCAGCGAGCGGCGTTCCACTGCAGCTGCACAAATGGCCTCCTGCCGACACCACGCAGCATAATACAGCTAATAATAACTCCTGGTATTCATTGGGCTTCTTTACAGTTCCAATGACGAAGTGTGAGCAGAAGGCACACGCTGCCGGTGACCCGGCAGAGGCAGTCTAATGTGCTTCCAAGCTCATTCTAATATCATTCGAGGCACCAGACATATCACAAGCAACTTTATTCTATTAATGAGTTTACCTTTTCGGCAAGACCGCATACTAATGTGCCACCTAATAACTGGGCGTTACTACCTTCCTTCTCCCTGTGGCGAAACAAGCGAACGGTCGGCTGCTGCTGCAGAAGCAGGCATAATGTGTCGGAGCCGAAGCTAAAAGAAACAGCTTTTCATGACTACAGAAGATACAATGGGCAAAAAGGCTTGCATGGCGCAGAGTTGCGATTAAATTGTGGCTCAGAAGCGCGGGAAGCCCTCGAAGTGGTGGTTTGGAAAAGTGCGAAAAGCCTTTTCGCTCGAGAGGTTTGCCATGTCTCATGACTGCACACTGAACCAGGAAGAGCGCGATGCAGGTCGTGCTTTCCAACTGGTAGGACGAGCATCAGAATAAAGTCGTAATGCCGAATGCCACAATGGCAAGAGCAACAAAGCTTGGAACTGCTATCGATGCGGAGCCTGTGAGAGAAGATACGATCCTGTCCCACTGCTCCTGCCTGCAAATCACCCGCAATCCCGTAGACAATATTTAATCAACTCACAGCAATGAAGGCGTTATGGGCAACACTGCGACGCAAGGGCCAGAGTGCTGCTTACGTGAATAAAGCAGAGCCGTCACTTCCAAAAGCAGCAGGCATCGTCTTGCAAATCAACGCATAACCATTTTTTGTGTTGCCGCCTGCTGCATAAGTTGTTTCATCATCTGTACCAGAGGTAGTCGTTTGAGTGCAAGTGACGACTCGGCAGTCTGCAGTGGCATTGGATGAAGGGTTGTAGAGGGCTACAAAAGAAACGTTGTCTTGAACTTTGTAGAGTGTTTCGCCTTCAGTCTTTGGTGGCGGAAGGCCAGTGAAGTTTTTGAAGGCTGCCTTCCAGTAATCAACTGTTTCCTTGCAGTCAGGCTTCGCAGCAGTTAGGGACTTGAAAGCATATGTTCCGTCTTGAAAAGGACTCGCTGCACTTGGCTCAGCCATTGTTTCCGTTCCTTGCGTCTGAGCAAAGGAAAAAGATGTTACAGTGCAGGATAACATTTGTAGACATGATATTGTTAGTATTCTGTCCCGCTTACCGGAATCAAATGTGTGCAAACCTTTTTCCACTCGCTGCTCTCCTGTAGCTCTTCTCCGTCTGGAGCAGTTAACGTATTGCCGCCCGAAGCTGTTGCGAAGTTGGGCAGCCCAGCCGCCTCACGCGCAGCGTTGATCTCGCTAAGGCACTCAACGTCGCTCCCTGCAGCAATTGCATTCAGACACACCTGTATTTTGTGATGTTTCAGCAAACGCTGCTTTTTGAAATGTAGAGCGGCTAGGAATAGCATTGCGGAACGCGCTTGCCGGAGTTGATGAGTTGACTGTGACCCTATCTCCGTGACACTGAAAGGAGGATGGCCTGATAGTGTCACATTGATGTGAACAACTGGGCAGAGGCTACTACTTACCTAGAGTTGCAGTGTACTTGATCGTTGGTCCAGTTCCTGATGAAGTGCCTAGAGTTGAGGAGCCCAGCACCAAGAACAAAGTGCTGAGAAGCAATTGTAGGCTCCAATGAAACATCTTCGAGTAACCTTTAAAAATCACGGTCGCAAAAAAATTTTAAAAAGAAATGTGAAAAGGAAGGCTGTGAGCGAAGGCAGTGCACAAAGGCGCAATACAGGGGGCCAGTGGTTTGTTTCCTGCTGCCGATAATGCCGGTTTGCGAGATCCGTTGGTGAGCAGCGGCCGCGCAGTGGGGAACCGCAACACCGAACCCTAGATCTGTGCTCACAGAGCTGCAACACTTGAAATTCATTCAAATTGTCAATTTAAAAACATAATATTTTCGGAAATATTGGGCCTATTGGATGTGAATGAGTGTTGATCTTTGCAGTCGCTTGAGCACTAGATCCTGACGAAAAGGCGAAGCGCATCCGTGTCTGCGCATGCGCTATTCTGTCGGCAAAATCTGATCTGTAGAGCTTCATCTTAGATGAAGCTCTACAAAAATTAGATTTCGCCTTTCAAACACAAAATGATAGTTGAGCTGCAAGTTTCTTGGCATTTCTCTGTCTCCACAGGCGGTTGTTCACAACCCTTCCTCGCTCCGCGGGGAGGCAGGCTGGGAGTGTCTAATCCCTAGTCGACTGAAATAACAGGCCTATCCAAACGAAATGTCGAATATGCAGTGGAAATGGAGCTTTAGACGTGGCAATTTGTCAGTGTCCCTGCCTTGAGTCTGCCTTGCCTTCCCCCGGTAATAGCAAGCGCGGTTTCTTTAAGCTTGAGCAAAGCGGCTTCTTCCAACACCACAATACAGCCAAAAAGCTAATACGAATGTCTCGTATTTAATGGGCTTCTCAAAAGCTTCAATAACGATGGGTGTGTAGTTGGAGGAATCTGTTCCCTTCACGGCAGAGGCAGACAAAAGTAACTCCAAGCCAGTTATAATCCCACTAGAAGCATCAAACGCAACACAAATAATTATATTATATTGGCCATTTTACAAATTTGGCAGGGAGATATGCTAGCGTGCCGCCCTCCAAGCCAGCAGCATTCACATTCCTCTTCATTATAACGAGATCAGCAAATGATTGACTGGCGGTACAATGGCAGGCATAATTTCTCATTCAAGAGAGCTGGAACTTGAAACATCTGCTCCTTAGCATCCCAGGTAAGGCTCCAACTATACACGGCTTGCATCACGCAGATCTGCGATGAAATTATGCGGCTGAGCTGGAACAAGCTTGCAAACTGATTGTTTGGGGAAAATGCGAAAAGGCTTGTTGGCTTATGCGTGTTTTATGTCTCACGACGGCACCAGCAATCAGACAGAAAACGATGCCGGTGGTAGTCCTCAGATGATAGTACGAAACCTTATAAAATCATAACGCCGAAAGTGAGAAT